ATATTGGACATGTCTGTCAATGCCTTAAACAAAAAGCCCCCTCGCTTAAGACTAGAGCCCCACTAAATCCCATTGTGACTACCTCGCCTTTTGAGCTGGTCACCATTGACTTCCTTCATTTGGAGAAGAGTAGAGGAGGGTACGAATATATTTTCGTTGTGATAGACCATTTTACACGCTACGCCCAGGCTTACGCCACGAGAAACAGGTCAGCTAAGACAGTTGCCCAGAAACTCTACAATGATTTTATTCTCCGGTTTGGTTTTCCGTTCAGAATTCACCATGATCAAGGAGGAGAATTTGAATATAACGTTCATCGAGAGCTCTAGAAGCTGTGCGGTGTGGAACATTCTCGCACTACCCCCTTTCATCCCCAGGGGAACGGTCAAGTTGAGCGCTTCAACCAGACACTCTTGGGATTCTCCGTACCTTGCCAGAGACCCAGAAATCACGTTGGGCAGAACAATTGAACCATGTGGTACACGCTTATAACTGCACGAAACACGAATCAACTGGCTACTCACCGTTCTTCCTTCTCTTCGGCTGCCATCCCCGTTTCCCGGTAGACTTAATGTTTGGAGCTGAAGATGAAACCAACCACGTGAACCATTCACAATATGTCGAAAAGTGGTGCAAAGCCATGACAGTGGCCTACAGATTGGCAGGCAAGAAGTCCAGTGAAGCAGGCACACGTGCCAAACAACCTTATGACCTTTTTGTACGAAGTTTGATATTGCTGCCTGGTGATAGAGTTCTTGTACACATTCTAAGAGAACGGGGTGGACCGGGGAAGCTGCGCTCGCATTGGGAGGATCAGATTCACAAAGTTGTTAGCCGCAAGGGAGAAGATAGCCCTGTGTATGAAGTCAAGCCTGACACTGGCCTCGGGAGGAACAGAATCCTACATAGGAATTTGCTATTGCCATGCAATAATCTTCCCATTAACATCCCAAACGGATTTAGTCAGAGGAGAGAAGGAAGGACCGAGAAAGATAAGCGTAGCACTGCTTGTCAGATACCTGTACCACAGGCCGAAGAACTGGAAGATGGCACCTGTAGTAATGATGAATATACAATCACCCCAGGGAACCCTTACACCGGGCAGTTCATAGACGAGGCGGTTACTGAGGAGCTCGCTAAATCATCAGTTGAAGAGAAACAGCCTAGGCCGACACAGTCAGAGGATGCAATATCGGACCACGCCCATCCAGGGAAAGTAATCAGCGATCGAACTGTTTTGGAAGAGACAGAAGAAAGCGGCTTAGAGAA